ATTTAAAGCTGAAATAAATTAAAATGCAGTTTAAATAAAACGTCTTCTAATAACAGACTTAAAAACAGCAAGCGTTAAACCGCTACACTAGGTAAATGTGTCATGTTTTAGCTTTAACAGTCTATTTTTACTTTTTATTTGACGTTTTATTTAGCAAAACTAGAATTTACAAATTATTTTAACTCTATTATTGTGACCCAAGTCTTATTTAGTGTAGATGTCTAGAATTTATGGAGTAAACGCTATTGTATAGTAAGCTATTCTAGTAATGGGTTCCTATGAATAGAATTCCATTTCTTTCTTTATGATTTGTTTGTTTAATATAATGCACATTAAAGATAAATCGATGCTGAAAAGAACATATAGAAAACCGCACACTAAATGGGTTCGATACCGAGACCAGCTATTGGCATAAATTTTAATAGTGGCAGAAACGATATCTAAATAAAATAAAAATGTGGAATAAATAAGGAGATCACATTCAAGCATGAATAAACGTTTTAATAGTGTTGCTTATTGTTTGGTGAATAAACTAAAATTTAATTTAAAGTGTTTGTTTCCACTTACCTAAAATGTTATTAATTACAGACTAATCTAGAATATATTTTTAAACGTATAAAAATGTAAATATTAAAATTATACACATCTTTTTTTTTTTATTTTTTTTAAATGTCCTTTAAAAAGCATAATGTTTAAACATATTATTAAATGTTTCATTTATAGGCTACTCAGCCTTCATGTGTGTCATATAATTTCATGCAAAACATAAAAAAGACCAGAGAAGTGACATTAAAAACACTTTAATTGTAACACTTAAGACACCTGGGCAATCTCAGGTGCACAAAGACAATAGAAATATACAGCTCTTGTTAAAATCCAGTGACATTTTCTTTCATCTGAAACATAGTTGGACATTGACAGCATACTATACATGACACACTCAACGGTTATTTCTACAGAAGAATCGGAATGTGAATTCATAGCTATTGAGTGGAACAGTGTCACGACTTTACTACAGTGAACAACTAGCATTTCATCCACCATATTTGGAGCTTTGGCCTGAGGATCTGAAGCTGATGCAAGAAAAAAAAAACAGCATATAAGCAGACGCTACTTCCCTCACGCTCTAGTTTTCACTGCGGTAAACTTACAAATCATTGCCTGGTTCTTTGTGGGTAAATTTGTGCCTACAAGTGCGTCCCGCTATTCGAGCTTGCCTTGTGTTGAGCCACCGTATCACTGCACATCAATACAGAACGACAAAGACACTTTAGCTGTCTGTAAGTGGCCAATGAAAGTTTTATACAAGCATGGTGACACTGGCTTAGACAAGAGGGCAGTGCAGCACTGTTTGGGGAGCATGAAGCGTGAGCTCCAATCAGGAGAGCTGGAATCCGACCTCTTCGTATCAAGTTTATGACTGTCCAGTAGGTGGGACGTTAACCCTCCTCTTCATCGCTGTCCCTCATGGTAATGCCCTGCAGACCGTCCGCGGCCGACACAGCCGCCGTGGCTTCCTCGATAGTGAGCCGGTTGTAAACCGTCTCGTAGCTCTTGTTGTTCAATGTGCTGTCCAACACACCCTGCAGCCTGAAGTCACGGTACGACTTCTGCACGACAAAAATAAAGAGCAAAAACAAGCATGGAGAACAATGAAATAGTTTAAGGACACATAGATTTTACTTTTTGACTTCTCGTACATCAGGATTTGCCTGAAACGGTACTTGTGTACCGATTAATCTCTCATTCTCATGGTAATGGAATTCGTTGTGCAGCCAAGCTGAACTTGACACTCTTGTCAACAGAGTTTCGAACAAAAACTTCTTCACGCTTTATTCTTTTTTTTTTTTACCTTGACAATCTTGATGAGAGTTTTGAGTTGGTAAACATGCAGCTGCTGGTCGAGTCTGTCCGTCAGCCAGGCACACACCGCCTTCATCAAAGAGTTGTACCATTGCTGTGCATGTGAGAAAGAGAGAGATAAACCTTGAAGGGGATATAAATGTGATGCAAAAAACCCTCAGTACTTTAAGCAAATAAAAAGATGTGACCCACACGGGCCGTGAAAGAAAAAGCTGCTTTTGGTTAATGTCAAAAGTTCGCTTTATGTGTGTTTTTCTTCTTCGATTGTGCCTTTTGATTGTGAAAAATTTTGCAGTCCTCAAAAAT